GTTGGTTTTGACATTATTAGGTTATCCTGAAAATAAATCACTTTTGAAAAGGTGAATAATTGGACAGAGCTTAGTGCTGACAAGCAAAAGGTTGGGGGTGGGGAGAACAGCAGTGAAGGCGAGAGGGAAGGGGGGTTGCAGTGTTGGAGATGAAAATCCATTTCAGAAGGCCACCGGCACGTGGGGAGCTCTAAGTCTCATTCTGGTCTGTACTCTAGCAAATGAGTGCAGTTTTTGGTCTGATAAATATCAAACTGCATTTATGGTTTCTGAAACTATTTTTGATCTAGCAGAGAACTGAGACATACCTTGTCATGTAATCTAAACCGTGAAAGGTATACTCCTGCCCAATAAAATTAAAAGGTAATAAATTTTGTTCCTATAAAAAGAAATCCCCACTTTTCCCAGCATTTAGCTAATCTATGGAGCTCACTGCTATGAACAGTCATCAAGATAATATATTGTGGCTGGACTCTTAAAAGAGCTAGATAATTTTATGACCATCAGCAACATCTGTAACTATGCAAACGAAGACCATGATAATGGTAATCCAACCTCATATTTTGCAGCATACGATAAAGCCCCTTTGGGACACAGGAAAGTCCTTCTGCACTGGATAATTGAGTAGTTATCTGATGGGTGTTTTTAATCCTTCTTCTGACACCTGAGAGACAGGGCACCATTAGGCACAGGGTACCAGGCTATTTGCTTGTATCTACTCCCCCAAAGACTGTGACATTATTTCAAGGGTTTGATGTGAACTGGAACTTCATGAGGAGATGTTTGAAGGTTTGGTGTCAATAGTGGACTGTAATTTGTCATTTTTGTAATAAAAATGGAATGAAGTCGATCTACTATTCCAGGAAAATTTTCTGAGTATGTGTTATGGTTCTGGCAATGGGTTGGCACTGAAGCAATATAGGTTAAAATCCTAATATCTAGACATTTGCAATGTGATCAGGAGTAAATCATGCACAGCTGCACTACACATAAGCTTTTAATTGCAAAATGAGTATAAAAATATGTTTTCTTTGATCTGGTGTCTTTCTGTCCTGTCTATTCCATCTTAGCTTGTCTAGGTGAAGACTGTCATAATATTTTTATTTCTGACAAAAAGACACAGCTTACATCCTGAATTTCTTTGGGGTTTGCTCATGCAAAACTGTTGCAATCACAGGTTTAATTTTGATCTGTACAAGACTTTGAGATGTAGGGCCAGCCTGTTAGATTTTGGCACCAGTCTACCAAATGTCTTCACTGATCAAGGAAGATGCTCCACTTGGAAGTAAAAATAGTGAAAATTATCCTGAAGCTGTGGTTCTGAGTGGTGTAAAATTCTATCTTTCCTCCTTCTCCCTCTTATCTTCTAGCAGGTACTTAAGAGATATTCAGAAATCAAAGGGTCTTACAAGGGTTTTCCTCCCAAACACCCCCATAATTGTCCCACCAAGCCTTGAAAGAAAAGCAGAAAGCTGGGTGGAGGTCTGAGGCAGGACTTCACCTCCAGAGGTGCTAGCACTTCTCACGCCAATCCCCCTACCCCCTGAAAGGTGCAGGGCATGCCCCTGCTTCAGGCTTGGAGGGGTGGAAAGGTGTTTAAAAAAAGCTTCTTTCTGCAAGTTCATCACTGTGCCTGTTGGTGGTCTGGAGATGGAGATGTAAAGGACAGAATAACAGGGGTTGTCTGGGAGCTGAATGAAACATTCACATCTTCTCCCAGCTTTTCTAATGTTTGAGAGCAAGTCTTTCTCATTCAAAGGATGCGTGTTAGGGAATTTATGACAGGAAAACATCAACAAATTACACAGGCCATGAGCAATCAGCTTTTAAGGTTCTGCAAAAATCTAAACTGAGTCCTTCTCTGAGGGAACTTTTATAAAGGACCACATTTTGCAACCCCGGATGTGGTTCCACGTGACAAACCCTGTGGTGGTGGACCCACTTGAAGAGATCATCACCACCCTCTTTGCCTTCCCATCTCCTTCCCCCGCTCCTCCCTGCAGTGCCAGAGTTCACTGTCTGCTCGATGATTCAACTGTTTGGGTGGCTGTGCTCCGAACCAGATTTGTCATAATGACTGCTTTCAAAACAATGAAGAAAGATTTCTCTTTTCATGACTTTTTTTTTTTTTTTTTTTAAATCTGATCATTCCCCAGTTCAGCTATCCAAACCACTGAATTGGCATGTCTGACGGGAGGTAAGCCCTGTCAAGTAAGGAAGGAATCCCTTAACACTTCTCTGCTTTTAAAGAATTCATGCCCTGGAAAAACACCCTCCTGTTAGATAAGGGGCAGCAGAGAAAAGCCACCATCCATGAAAAGAGGAGGGATATTTCAGGCCACACTGCTATTCTAATAGACCTATTCAAATTCATTATCACTGCATGATACAATCAACCCTATATAGTTATCAGGATTTGGGGCTGTTTTCTTTTTCTGCCACTGACAAATAGGCCAAAGTAAACCAGATCACTGATAAGACAGACCCCTGGGAAGACTTTCTGACACACTTGATGCATGGATGGGGCTTTTTGTTCATCACTCAGATGATTTTGTCTTGCAGCATCTGTTTATTTTCCCTCTTCTTTCATTGCCCAAGTTTGAAAGCAGCCTGAAATAGAATAGGATTTATGCTACAATCTGCAAGCCCTGAACTTTTTATTTAGGAGACTCAAAGACTATAAGGCTGAGAGAGGCCTTTGGTATCATTTTGTCTGACCTCTGCTACAACCCAGGCCATTAGCTTTCTCTGACTTAATTCTTGTTTGGTCTATCCACTGGAAAAACATCCAGTCTCAATTTAAGAATTGCGAGTCATGAAGAGAATTCATCACAACTCCCTATGAACTGTTCTTATGGTCAGTTACCCCATCTGTTAAAAAATTTCCATCATCCTTTAGTTTAGATTTGCTGAGTTTCAGCTCCCAGCCATTGGCTCTTGTCTTTGTTGCACCTTTGTAACCCTAGATTTCCATCAAGATTCACATCAGAGAATGTGGCTGTAATTAGGCACATATATATCACTTAGAGATGTTTCCAGTCAGTTGCCTCCTGAGCAGAAATGTTTTTGTTTGTTTGTTTTTGAGAAATGATAACATGCTATCATTCCAAACACAACTGTTTATATTTGCTATCATTTGAATTGCAGGCATATGATTTTCCAATACCTGTTGAAATATAACTCCTGCCTTTAAGGATCACTGAATATATATATATAAGAAATGTCCTGTTACCCAGAAGTGCAAAGGGCCCATATTTACCATTGATGCCACCTGAATTAAACAAAAAATACTTTATTTGTAAAGAGAATTCAGCAAGTATGAGAGGTAAAAGATGTATTGAGGTATCATTTGAGGTGTTACTAATCAAATACAAATTGTAGTAGATAAAGCGGCTTGAGAGGGTTTTTACGATATTACAAGATGTCTCTGAAGTGATGACCACTTTCATGAGGATGCTTTAACAAACACTCTGTCCAGATTCGGGGAAGCATGAAAAGATGGCAGCACTGAATTGGAGTGATAAGCACAGACAAGTGTCCCTAGTCTGACCGAACCACATTAACTTCAGATAATACTTTCTGTTTCATTTGATCACATATAGCATTTTCATTACCTAGTTACTGTTATGCTCCATGGCATCTGCTCCTCAGATATGGGTTTGTCTACTGTCAGCACCTATTACACCCTCTATCCTGAGCCTTGTCTCCTTTGACCATAAATACAGTCCTTTCCCCCCCCCCTATTATGTGGGCAATCTGGGATTTATCTAGTCCACTGCTGCCTGATGACTAATATGGCGAATCTCCTCTGTGGCTTCTTACATTCTGTCCTCAGCTCAGGTGAAGGGAAGACCAGAAGGTCTTCCAGTGAGCAGGGTGGATAGGAAGGTTCATGACATATGCAGCAGTAGCATTTAGACCTCTTCTTCCTCCTGCATGTCCTAAGGTATGCTTTCCACATTGTTGTCATGCATTGCTTGGTTCTGCTAGATCAGGAAGAACATTTAAATAACATGCAAATTTAAATTTAGCTAATTTGGAATGAAACTCTAGATGTTCCAACTAATGGTGCTAGATCACTCAATGAGGAGTGATCAACTACATTGACATCCACGTGACAGAGATGCAAGGACAACATATTTTTAAAGTCACAATGGGATGGTTCTTTTTAAACTTTTGTCAGTCACATTGATGCACTAGTAATTAATACTACATGTGAATGAACAATAATAATTATTATGCTCTGCAGTTAGAAGTTCCAGTGTTTTTTGTTTATTTAATAATTTTCTGGAATAGTTCACAGACATTGGCTCCTGTTGTCCAAATATTTCATTTAGATTCATCTTTATAGCTGTTCTGAAATGTAACTGGTCATCTGGCCGAAACCAGAAGGCAGCCAATTAAATTCACAGGAAAACATTAATCTGAGCCGAAGAATTCACAGCACATGTGTGCAATCATTCCTCCTTGTACACATCCTTTCTGTTCTGCCCCTGCTCCTTTTCCTCCACCTCCCAACCTCACTTCTTGTTTCACGAATTGAAGGAGAATGTGCCAACTCTAACAGCACTGTCCAAGGGAGAGGAAAATTAACACCAGCTTTGCTTTTGTGCATTCAGGACCCGGTCCAAGAAGGCCACTAGAGTGAATGTGAGTTTTTCTCCAGCTTTTACCAGGCCTGGGATCCGGCCCAAGTGTTGTATTTCTAACACATATCAGTGCAGAGTGTGAGGATGGAGGAGGCAGGAGACAGGCTTCTGGGTGGTAATGAATGGATGCTTTGAAAGGGAGGAATGAAGTGAAGAGGGAGGGCTTGCAGGAACTGGAAAGGAGGACAGTGAAAGTTAGGAAGCTGGCAGTAGGAGCAGAGGTCTAGGACCATGAGGACATGCTCTCTCTTGGGCTAGCCTCCCTATTCCTCTGCTGCCAGTAAACATCTGTTAAAACACACAGGAAATGTGTGTTTCTTGTCTCCCTCTCACTGTTGGTTCATTCTGCAAAAAGTATCTCAGCTCTGCTGCAAACTTCAGCCAGGGAGAGATGTGCTGTGGCTGCAAGGGGGTCATGTTCTTCCAGCAAGCCAAGCTGGGGTCACCCTGTTTCCATCTCCTGGCATTTCAGGACAAAAAGGAGGTGATTTTTTTCCAAGGAAGGGATTGCATGAAAAAACAGACTTATTTTAAAAGGGTATCCTGGTGACAAATTCGGGCATTTTCCAGCTGGGAAATACTAGAAAGGATGTTGCTTGCACTCTCATATTGGAAGACAGTAGTAAAGCAGAAACTAGTATATGAGTGGTAAGTAAGGTGGGGATATATCAGGGGTAATTTCATGGTTAAAGTGCTTATTTAATATTCATGGCAAAAAATGATTCCACCCATTGCCTGTGCCACAACGCTGCTAATTAATGCTGGGTCCTAGGTTTCCAAAATTATTTGATTTGAGCTTAAAAGGTATTATAAAAGTGTTCCACACATAGGAGAATCAGATCCTGACTGCTGCAAGACCTGCAACTTTCTGGGCATTCAGTTTCTCATCTTAAACTGTGAATAGTTATATTGCAGTCTTATGGGTGACAGGTTTCATGGGATGACATTTCAGCCTCTCTTGGGGTTAGAAATGATCTGCATATGCAAGGACAGCTGAGTGTAATAAAGTGCATAGATTTACATATATCCGTGTATATATATGTATACATGCATGTATGCTTATGCCATATAACACACGTACACTAAATCATAAACTATACTATCCCATTCATAAAAGTCTGTGTGAAAAAAGGGATTCTGTCATAATAATACCGTGATTGCATTTGGCACATTTCAACACCCTTGTTGATGGACACGAGGAAATTAGATTGAACAGGGAAATGTATTACAATCTCAACACCAGAGGGAGCCCATCTGGGTTGTCATCCACTTAACAGCAAAGGCAGTAGACTTTATTCTGAGTATATCCTCCAAATATTTCTTTTTAATCCGTGTCATGTATTTGTGTGTACGTGCGCACACACACTGAGCTTGTATCAACCACCACAGATCCACACCACTTACATGCATGTGTGTATGTGTGTGTGTAACCAAAGTTGTGTGATGTAGTATGCTTTATGCTTTTTGTTTTGATTTTGTTATTTAATTCATAATTCAGTTGAGATCTGAGATACAAATGCTAAGTAGTTTTTTGGCTTGATGTCATACAAAGTTTTAACACAATGCTTTTGCTTATGGCCTCCCGCCAATGTGTATGCCTTGCACGTCATTTGTGGATGCTCTCAGGAAAGAATGTGCAAAATTGCATTTATTTTTTGGCATTATGGTTGTATGAAAGCGACTTTAATGTTCATTCTAGGCCAGCAATTCAAGAAAAAAAAAAAAATATACTACTTGAATTTTATAAACAAGAGTTTAAACAGGGCTGTTTTATGTTATTGTTACTTACATTTTACAATGAAGAGGCAACATACTGGTCATCAGAAGTCAAACTCAACTTTTGCTTTCTCACAAATGTGTAAGTTACACATATGCTGAAAGCTTTTCTCACTGTTGAACCCAACTGCTTCTGAGAACAGAAACGTAAAATGCAGTAACGTACTGTATACAACTCTCAGTTAGTTAGAAGTTTTGCCGTTGATTTCAGAGGAAACAGGATGAAGTACAAGTGTGAAAGACTATATGTTGGGCAAAAACTACCTAGACTGTAAGTAAATGTTTAGGGGCATTGGCTTAGTTTTCACTTTGCAGATGTGAAATGCCTGTCAGTAGCAGCTTTCCGCCTGATGTTCTTTGTAGTATTACATGAAAAATATGGTTCTAGCAACCACTCTTTCTACATAAATAATTGAGTGTTCTAGTAGTTCAAAAGGAAGATGGATGGAAGCATAAATGCCTTGGCTGTGTTGATCCATGTTCAAGATCTGACAATTAGTGTTTGGGAGTTAGATGTGGACCTCAGTCTGGATATACCTTCTCCATTGCAGAAACCTCCCTCAAAGGCCACAGCAGCAGCTGACTTGTTCCTGCATTTCTTGTTCCTGTCATGATTGGTAGCATAAGGAATGCAATCATTGCTGAGAAACATCACTGCAGATGCTAGTGATAGGTGAAATTTTGGGATAAGTTTGATAACTAAAAGGTATAAATATTCAAAAACTTGGTCCTCACAGCTTTGTCCTGGAAAACTCTTGTCTAAAAGGAAAAGAGAAAAAAGTGTCCAGGATCTTTGGGTTAAAGCTCTATGATGCATCTCTATTTACAACCCAAAGGGATCAGCACCTTCTCATCTTTGGGTTTTGGCTGGTGCAAAGGAACATTGCTATAAAAAACAACAAAAAAGCAAAGAGAGGCTGCCCTAGTTTACAGCTGTCTGCAGGCTTCTTTGCAACTTGAAAGCAGGCAGGGCTCATAGCTTTCCTACATGCATTTCTTCTTCTTTCCAATCCATCCCTTGTTAGAAACCAAGGCTTAAAGGAAAGAAAGGGGATGGCTTGAGGTGATCCCAGTCACAGTTAGTTCATTCTCCTCCCAAGTAGCCTAAAGAATCCACACCACAAATGAAGGCTAATAATAATATCAGTTTTGTCTGGTGACATTGATATGATAAATACCTGCAAAAATTGCAATAAATATTGAGGTCTGAGAAATACATTGAGTGGTATATGAAATGAAGTGTCCTTTGAAAACAGGGAATGGCAGAAAGCACTGAGGTAGAGTGGACCATTGTCCTGGAGAGGAACAGATGATGTGCTAGAATGTCTATTAACCTTTACCTCTATCAATAGGCATTTATTCAATTGGTTTGGAAGTAATTATTAAATGTGAATATAATTAATTATATCAGAAGAGTAAAGGAGGTAAGCAAGCATTTTGCTTAAGTACAGCCTATAGTGATTATAAGATTGGATAGCTGTGTTAACTTGAGATTTTAAGCTACAAACACTGACATTAGATTTTCCTGTAAACAGAAGAAAATTTCAGCTCGAGTAATGTCAGGTATACATAAAGTTGGAGGAAAATATCTTTGGTTATACCAGTTGAAGAAATGATTGGAATATTTTTGTGTAGTATGGAAAGGACCAAGATTTCTTTTTATTTTTTTTTTTTATTTATTTATTTTTTAATCTAAAAACATTCCTGCATCTGGTAACTCTAGTTTTCATTACTTCAAGTGAGGTATTTCCAATAATAGTTGAAAGTGAAGATTCATGCTAAAAGAAATCTTATGGGAATGTTTGTTATTGTCTCATTTTCTAAGTACTTATAAACAAAAGGATTTGGAGTCAAATGAAAAGCTAGACATTTGGGTGCTTCTTCTGAATTTCCAAGCTGGATATGCATGTCATTTTAAATAATATTATTACTTTGATCTTCTTAATGTTTGATAGCTTTACAGTTTTCTAGCTTCCTGTCCACCAGACTGCTTTCTTAAGTGGCTATTGCTGCTTTCTGTGTAGCTTTACACTAGGTTCTTTGAGCAAACAGTTTAAAATCTCTCTAATCAATACAATGTTAAAGATTTTGCAGTCTTTCAAGAAAAGGAGAGACTTATTAAGAGATAAAACAACAACAACAAATAAACAACAACAACAAAAAACACCATCACTGATGGTTTTTAAGAACCCATTGAACAAGCAGGAGCCAGTAATGCCACCTGTATTTAGGCAGGGAAGTGTTGCAGGTAATCTCTGGAGATCCCTTTGATTCTTTGAATACTTTCAATTGCTTTAAAATATAAATAAAAAGTTACAGCCCGTTAATTAATTTATTTATATATATATACATTTTTTAAACAGACATCATTTCTAGAATTCAGTAGGATAGCTAAAAATTTGTTTGAATGCACATCATGTTGCTACATTGCATGTGTTTATTTGCTTTAAATAACTGCCGAAGAAAATCTTTCCCTTGGTATTTTTGTTTAATGATGTTGACACCCCCATTAAGTCCTTTGTTATTGTGCCAAAGGATTAACCTTTGGTAATCAAACACAAAGCAGAAGAGGTTTTGTTTTCACTCAGTCTTTACTGTTCTTTACCAGGTGTCTGCAAGTTGGACAGTACAGGAAGACAGGCCAAGAAGGCCTAAAAGCCTCTCAATTCTGGATACAGAAACAGCAATGAAACACAACCTGAGAGATTGTTATGTGCTGTAATAACAGTCAAGCACATAAACAGCCTTCCAGGCTTCTTGTACAAGAGTTCAAGTCATACCGAATCAAGAGCAGGCCAGCAGGAGAGGATGCACTAGCCATTAGCAAAAAAGGGAGTTAACAAGTGATGAAGTCAGGAATGTGCTGATGTCTCTAAGTGGAATGAGGGGGATAAAGAGTGGGAAGCCACAGCTTCGCAGAGATGAAGCCACTGTTGAGTTAATTAATTGGGGTGGGATGTCTGCACACTGAGGGGAGGAAGGGAGCTTCATTTGGTATGTGTCTGAGTTTTAAGCAGCAGTTACAAGGGATTGTGGAGCTTGGGGAAGGACAGAAGAAGTGTCGGGCACAGCTCACGCTGGCAAGGAGCCAAATAAACTTGTCAGATATTTGTGAAAATGGGCTGCAGCTGCTAGGGCTGGAAGAGCTTCACTGTGCAAGCAGCACGCTGGGCCTGAGTGAGACCCTGCGCTGGCTGCCCCCTGGCCTGACATGTCAGATGGGATGCCTTCTGAGGAGAAGCCACGTGCCTGTTCCAATGTGCTTGCAGAGTTAGAATATGCCTCTTCCCCCCACCTTTTGGCTGTGCCCCAACATCCAAGTAAGCAGTTTCTGTCTAAAGACAAAGCAAAGGAGTTAACTGCGATGAGCAAGTAGTAGAGCTACTATCAAGGAGTAGAGCTGACTGCTTTGTTTGACCAAAAAGTAGTGGATGCTTGCCTTGCAGACAAGCGTAGTGTTGAAAGGCTTTGAATGTTCTTTCAGTCTTATACTCTTTCTCCTTCCTCCTCTTCCCTTTCTCTCCTAAACCTTCAGAAACTTTACACTGATAATCTATAAACTTTATCCCAGAGCTTAATTTTAGTGATATTCCTAGTAAGTTTTTGGGAAAAGAAAAGAGAATTTTCAAAACTGATTTATCCAGAAATCTGACTACCTATCTATATATATAGATATAGATTTAAAAATAAATCTGTCCATAGAATTACTTGGATTAACAGTCTTAAATGTATATTGTATCATCACCTCAATATTGTATTGTAGTTTATTTTATTGTAGTGTACTGGAATGTTGGGAAGGAAGGAATGATCTGGGGCGACAAGAAAGTCATGAAGATATTTTTTTTTCTTGTGGTCTGCTTTAATAATATCTG